GATAGGTAGTTAAAAGAGAGCATAGGCATGAACATAAACCCTCATATCATGCTAGAACAAGCTGCATGTGGTCTTAGTATAGATGGCAAGAAAAAGAGCAAGTAAACTTAAGGACTAGGAGAGAAAAGTTTTCAAAAGAACTAAGTAAGAAAACATCTATGACAGGTAGAAAAGAGCATGAAAACCACAGGGAACACAACACTTCGAGGAAAGCAATGAAGCTACGAAGGAGTAAGGTCAGCCAAAAGGTGATGGGAAAAGAAGGCCTTTGGAGTATATATGAAAAGGGCATTTACTATTCTTCTGCTTTGTGCTTGACATAACAACCCTTGTATTTATGTCAAACAGCCAGAAAAGACAATGCAGCCCAAGGTGCTAGAAAATCATATCCCATACTTACTGTATACTGTCAGCTTCTTAAGTCCATTTACATTTCAAGCATAGGGGTGAAGAAATAATTTTAACAATATAGAAAATAAACGCAAAACATATTTTATAATGTTTTTAAGTAAATAAATTACATTTTGGTACAAGAAAAGCACTGTGAAATGATAGTAACAGTAATTCAACAAACATACAGAGGATGACTTCGGCATTCATCAGTTCACTATTTGGACACTGTAAGGTATTTTGCCTTGTCTGTGCTTGGAATCATATTAAAATATTATAGTAAATTCGCTTAGTGTCCTCCCATACTGAACAGTTCTCAAAACACAGAGCAGTGTCCAAAAGGCTGCTCTCTGCAAATGTGGCATAGATGAAAAAAAGTAATTACAACTTTATCCTTTACCGCTTCAAGAATAGAAAACAACTTTCAAATATAACTTCTTACCTTTGTTTTCCTTGTACTTTCAGTGTTGCCCTCACAGGCCCAAGCCAGTGTGAATATTGCTCTGTTTAGATAAATCTTGCCTGCATATGCAGACAAAGAGTGAGTACAAGGAAATATATGCTTTCATATCTGCTGTGTTTGATATCTTCACTCCCAGGAGCCATAAGTAATGATTTCTGTACTATAATGCACTCATGTAATTAGTGTAGAACACAAACTGTTAGAATTAGGCAGCCCAATTTTCTGTTTAATCATTTGGTTGCCTGCTATTTTAAACAGAACTTGAACATTTTAGAGAGGGTTTAATGTGGTTTTCAAAACCTGGAATATGGTACTCCATATACTAGATTGCTTTTAATGATTGTAATACAGTGGTACCTCGGTTTACGAACGCCTCGGTTAACGTAATTTTTGGTTTACAAATGAAAATCCATTGAAAATAATGCCTCGGTTTACAAATTTTTTTTGCAATACAAAGCAAGTTTCCCCAGGATGCATTGTTTCTGGGAGGTTTATACTGCCGCCCCCGTGCATGCTGGAGTCTGTGGGTAGTCTGTGGGTAGCACATGACGTCGAGTGTGGCGGTGTTTTTCAATGCATTCAATGCATTCCTATGGGATACTGTGTTTCGGTTTACAAATTTTTCATAATACGAAACGTCCTGGAGAACACATTAAATTCCTAAACTGAGGTACCACTGTACTTCTTTTTTAGGCCAGTGATGCCATAGAGGAGTCAGGAATTTTCTGCCCAATTCATGTGGAAAATGTGTTTTTTTTTTTTTACTGCATGCCTTCAGACTCTCATCACTCACATCACTATTCTTTAAAAATATGCTACGCTTTTTAAGCAGTTGTATGGCTGTGGTACAGCCATAGCACTGCTTTTTAAATGTCCAACTGAGATTACCGTTCTTGGAAAATGCAATTTATTTACAAGTTCACATAATTATTATTTTACAATTGCCATGTTAGTTTAAAACATCTGTATAAATGTTAATGTAGCAAACTAGAGTGTAGTGGTTGCACAACGTGGTTGCAATCAAAGGAAGCATTCCTGCAAAATCCATATGTCTGTGTATATAATATTAATATATATATATATATATATATATATATATACATACACATTTTTAAAACAGGAAAAAAATCAAGTGTCATATATTCATAATAAAAATAGCCATTTACCAGCATGAATCATTACTACTTGGTTCTGGCATCACGGGATGATTAGGTTTTGTGTAGACCATGAGCATGGGATGCAACTGCTCCAGGCAAATGAATAAAGTTAGTGTTTTCCTACAGGAGTTAGCTTAGTATTATTGAATAAGTAATCATTTATATTAGCTCAATGTTAAGATTAGGACTTTAGAGGGTTTAGTTTAAGTGATAGAGTTAAAGTGGACCTGAACACAAAAAAATTAAGATTTTGCTATGCTATGGGGAACATTAGGAAGTAATAATTGTACCCCTGAAAAACATTGGTGCGCTTCCTGATATGGGAGGATGCCTAAGCACTCTTGTGTCCACATCATCTTATCTGTACTGTATATCTGCAGTACAAAATCTTAGGCACTGGTTCCTATGACTTCTAATTTCATATACGTTGAACTGAGATTTGATGATGTCACTACTGTGCTGCTCTCTGTACTGCTTGATGTAGGATCTGACATGAGGAGATCCTGCCTCTACCAGTTTGCCGCAGCAAACTCAGCCAGGAATTGGAGAGGGTACCTGTCAAAACCAAGTACCAGCTCCTCCCCAAAAGGTGCCAAATGTGGCAGCAGATGAACAGGAGGAGGTAGATAAGTGGAAATTCCACCTTTGGGTGGAACTTTTCTTTAATCTCCAGAGGGTTTTACCCCTTCATGACCAGGCCATTTTTTGCTATTAGGCACTGCACTACTTTAACTGGCAATTGCTTGCTCATCCAACACTGTACGCAAGAGACATTTATATAATTTTGTTCACACAAATAGAGCTTTCTATTGGTGTTATTTAGTAAGAGGCATGGTGAGTTATTTGAACTTGTCTTTATTTGTTAAAATTTTTTGGAAAATTAAGTAATTAAATCATTATTTTTTTACAAATTTGTTTTTACATACTGTCACCAGTGTAGTGCAGTGTCATCATATGAATGGCATGGTGGTGATCAGGGGCACTAACTGGTGACAGTATTTACACAAAATATATATTTTTTATTCATTTTTTAAACATTTTTTCACACATTGACATTTTTTTCTTTTTTTACAATTGTTTTTCCGTATTTAATTAGAGTAGTTCAGTGTCACCATAGTAACACTATAATGCTCTGGGGGTGATAAGGATTTTTTTCACACTTCAATTACTGTTACAATAAAAAAATCACTGTAACAGCAATTTTCGAACAATCATGAATGGGTTACATTCATAACAGCTGTGATTACTAGTGATCTGTGATTGGCTACAGCTAATCACATGGTACAGGGTGCTGTTATTGACCATGGTACCATGTGATATTTGTGGCCCAATCACAGCTCACTAGTATTGTAAGTACAGCTGTTATGAATCTGATTCATTCATAAGAGCTTTGTTGACATTGTGACCAATCTCATGATCCCCAGGCTGCTCAAAGTGACCCAGTACTGGGTGCCACAATCCAATGGTCATAGGGAAGGGGAGGGCTGCAGCACACTCCTAAACGTGAGCAGGCTGGATGACATACATGTACATAATCCAGCCGGCATGTGCCACCTGTCCACAGTAAATGTACTGTGGATAGGTTCCAAGTGGTTACATTTTCAGTACAAGAAGCCCCATACTGAAAACTTTTCTCACTGCTATGCTGGCATCTTCACTGCTGTGCTGACATTAAAGCAAAGCTGCAGTGATAGAAAATGAAAGTTGATGTTGGTGGTGTCAACCTCATATAGGATGTTCACTTTGCAAGGTCATTTTTACTTTGCAATGGATTTTTCCTTAGCTTTAGCACTTTGGAATTAATTTACTAAAAAAAAATACTGTAGGCGATTCTACTTGCAAGGGAATGTATATTTTGTAAGGGAAGTTCAAACTATATCCCTAACATACACACACACACACACCACCACATAAACACAAATACAAACACACATACAAACTCATACACAGAAATTCTGGATAAGTCAGTAATTGCTCTTTAAAGTACACTTGTAATGGGAGAAACATAATCATTGCCATTGTTCTTCTTCTGAAAATAATAGCTGCCTGACCATCATGCTGATCCTCTTGCTCCAATACTTTGGGGTTGATATATTAAAGGCAAATAGGCTGTTTACTTTTTAAGGGAATTTTCCCTTAGCTTTGTGAATGAGGTGAAAGCTCTGTTTTCCAATAACGTGCAAGCATAAAAAAACTAAGAAAAAATTTTTTTTTAAATTTATTTTCCTTGCCTAGTTGCCTTTCCGCAATCAACATCTTGTCTTCAATTCTCTCTGAGGCTTTGACCCAGAGTAAACATGCAGTATACAGGAGCTGTGACTTCAGTTTGACTATTTATTTCATGTGCTTGCCCCATGTCAGTGATTCACAAGGTACTGAAACCAGAGGAAGGTGGGAATTTGTAGAAGGAGGTAAGCTATGAAAGCTCCAAATTTCTCTTAGCACAGGTTTCTATTAACTATGGAATTAATTTTTAAAAGATGGTTCTTACCATACAATGTTATGCATGTAAGAAGATTCTCCCTTTTTATAAATTCTACATAGTGATTAGCCATGTAAGTAAACATAATATCCTACTAATAATGTGGTATTTATTTACCATAAATGACTCTATCATTGATTTATCTGAGTATCATAGCTCAGATTTCAAAGATATGTTAATCTATATTTATGCTTAGTAAAAGATTCCTTTTTGAATGTGTACCATACATATCCTGATATTCCCCCCCTCCATTATTATCTTTTCCAATATTTTTATTGGGCACTTGTGTTGAATATCAGCATTTACAATAACCACTAATTGTATTTCCCAGAACATATCAGTAATATCGGTTCATTTGAATTTAATATGATACATCACTGAGTCATGATAAACTATTTTTAAATTCAAACTTCTCATTTATTGTATTAAGTGTAGAGCTTAAAGAATAGTTAAACTGTCCATAACAGGTTACATCAAGGTTGATATTCATTAAATCATTAAAGTGCTACTAAACCCACAACAGTAAAATCAGACTGTATATGCAGTAAAGCATGCTTGTTAAACTCAATGTGGAACCTAAGGGGTTAATCCTCTGCGTTATGTAAAAAGGCTGGTTGATCCTGACTTCTCTGATACTCCCCTTCTTCCAGTATCCCCCTCTTATCGCCTGATAAGACATAGCATGTGGAGACACTCTGCACCTGCTCAGTTTGGTGTGTATTGCTAGAGAGGTTTTGCTTTTCCTGGGAGAGTGCATGTGATCAGCACAGGACCAATCAGTGCTGTCCAACCAGAGGTCACAAGACTGTTCTAACTGCTGATGAGAAAAGGTATTTAGCAGTTTATATTTACTAAAATAGTTGCATTTCCATGTTCTGTGCACTGTGGGAGACCAGATATAGTGAATGCAGAGTCCATGGTTTAGTTACACTTTAAATATAATTTCTAAAACATAGGCCATAGAGATAGTATTAGAAACTGTTAACTGTTTAACTATAATTATCATTTAGGTGAAAAGTAGTTATGTGAGTGATATAGTATTAACAAAATATAAGATAGAGATTGGAACAAAAGTGAAAGAAAGGGCTTGCCGGTGCAGACCAGGGAGAAGACAGATTTATATTTGATAGCAGTAAACCGAACAATATTTATAATAAAATTGTGTTCATAGTTGAGTAAATAGTTAATATATCTGATCCAATGGTTCTTAAAGGGGAATTTCAGCTTAACCCTAACTAATCTTAAAATTGTCCCTCCCCCCTCCTAACACCTATGCTTACTAACCTATGTAAGAAACATGCTTACCTATTTTCAGGCCATTCAGGTCCAGTCAGGTGATCGTGCCTGTGTCTGTCAGCTGCGCTGCAGGGGAGAGGAAAGGAGCTCTCTAACATTGGCTTGTAATTCCTGAAGTGGTGACATCATCCTTAGGCTTCAATGGCCCATCTGTTGTCAGAGCTCCCTTCTCTCCTCTGAAGCTGCACTGGATGACACAGGGGAGCCATTCATGTGACCTGAAAATAGATAAGTATATACCTATACTTTAACCGCTTAAGGACCGCCCTATAGCATATATACTATATATACATGATTTTGCATTTCCGGGTAGGGGGTGCGCGTGATGAGGAGGAACACTGTTTTGTTTACAAACAGTCTTCCTCCTTATCAGCTCGAGCACATTGCTTGGGATGGCTGTGCACAGTACAGCCATCCCGATCAGTGTGCTTACAGTAAAGCACACCCCCTGTCCCTAGTAAAACACTCCCAGCACATAGTTAACCCTTTTATTTCCCCTCACATTAACCCCTTTCTGCCCAGTGCCAATAGTACAGTGTCAGTGCTTTTTTTTTTTAGCACTGATCACTGTATTGTTGTCACTGGGGATGTCAGTGACACCAAGTTAGTTCCCCCCAGTGTCAGAATGTCCTCCACAGTCCCACAGTCCCACTAAAAGTCACTGATCGCTGCTATTACTAGTAGAAAAAACTCCAGTATCTATACCGCCATTTGTAAACGCTGACTTTCACGTAAACCAATTCATTTACACATATTGGGATATTTTTTAGCAAATACATTTAGCAGAATACATTTTGGCCTAAATTTATGATGAAATTTGTTTTTTCATTTTTTTTACTGGATATGTTTTATAGCAAAAAGTCCAAAATATAGTTTTTTTTTCTCAAAATTGTTGGTCTTTTTTTGCTTATAGCGCAAAAAATAAAAACCCACAAAGGCGATCAAATACCACCAAAAGAAAGCTCAATTTGTGGGAAAAAAAGGACATAAATTTAATTCGGTTGCAGAGTTGCATGACCACGCAATTGTCAGTTAAATTAACGCAGCGCTGTAATGCAAAAATAGCCTGGTCAGGAAGGGGGGTAAATACCCAGGAGGGCAAGTGGTTAAGGTAGTTTGTATGTTAATATACTGGCTACATTTCCATTTGCCACTATGCAGGAGAGTTTTTAAGCAGTTCAAAAGGTATCACAGTGGTTTTCCATGAGAGGTCTTTTGAAATTTATACAGTTCAGAATCTAAAATTACTTTCAACTTTCTGTCTCTATTATATGAATCATAAAATGAAAGAAATTGTAACATTTATTAAAAAGTACCTCATAGCACAGTAAAGTCACTAATAACTTGAAAGGCATGCATGCAGATTTTGGCCACCATTTAACATGTGCAAGTAATTTTGATACCTAAGGACCATTTTCATTTCACAAGTCAACCAAATTATAAATGCATGTTCGAAGGGCAAGTCTGCCATTTTCATGAAATAGTTCAGCACTTACCATTTTCCTATGCATTCTATATTCAAACTGTGAAAGTGGAATATGCCAAAGAATGTAATATGTTACTGCAGCACAGCAACACTATAGAAGTAATAAAAGCTTCACCCTTTTCTTCAGTATAATTATGAGTTTTCAAAATCCAATTTTTCATTTTTCTTGCTCACCAGACAATAGGTCTTCAGTTTTATAAAAACATGGGAAAACAGCAAACTGTGTCAAAAAATGGGGAATCTGACTTTGTTTGTGACTTTGTAAAACGTTTTACTGTATAATTAGGCCCTTAAAAGCTAATCTTTGGAGTAATCATAAAATGCCATTATTGAACATATGTATTTATTCAAAATCTTTGAAGGAAACCAGTACTTAGAAATGACATAGGGTGCTATTGCTAAACTCTCCTTTTAAAAATTCTAGTTACTTGGCTCTGACGTTAAGGCTCAATTGACCTTTCAGTTTAAATCAGCAAAATACAGTCCAGGTTCATCAAAAATGCACAGGTCTGACATGTCCCATGTTGAGTCAGAGCTAGAGACGTCCATTTAGCTGGAAACATGACATTTGATGATGCATAGCTATAGGTCTGATACAACAGGAAGCATTTTGAAGTTTTGCTGATTGCAGAAATCCCCCTCAGCCTGTGCTCTCCACCATTGTCTGATATCTGTGGGTGGGCCCTCAGCATCTTCATGTACAATGTAGGCATTTTGGTCAACTTTGGGGTAATAATCATAAAGAGAGGAGACAGGAGCAATGAATAAGGTAAGTATATCACTGTAATCATCATCCTCTAGGCTAGGTGAGCAGGAAAGCCTTGTAGTATGGAGGGGCACCCATTACAAAGGTAATTGTTACCCAAATTCAGCTATATTCAAAAGGCGTCACTACTTTCTTAATTTTACTAGATGCATGTGTGTCCCCACATAGTGTGGCCAGAGCTCAGGCTGTGCTACATGGGCATGCATATTCATCTAGAAAGCAACAACAGGAGACCAAAAAAGAAGATGTAAGGGACCATTCTGTGCAATATGCTTGCACAAAGCAGATAACTATGACATGTTTATCATTTTAATTAAAAAAACAATTTGAGACTGTAATATCACATTAAAGTCCCACAAGTTTACTCTTTGTCCATAGGGACATTACAGTGGGATGTGATGTAAATTTCCTTTATCAATACCCTTCCACTTACTGTGTTTATTTTTAAAGCCAGTTAGCGTGCAGTACGTCCCTGACTTAACATTTATACAAGCCTCCTATATTGTCCTATACAGCAGTCTGAAAGTCTTGCGTGCAACAGCATTTCGTTGATGCTGCATGTAAATCACAGGAACATGATGGTGAAAGCAGACTGAGCAGTAAACACACATCAGTGTTATGCTGTCCACTGTCCAGTCAGTGGGCTTGGGATTTGTTTGGATCAGTTTTGACCAATATGTTCTTCTGTGACAGTGAAGGTTGTAAACCTGGCTGTTCTGCCTGACAGGGATGACTGCATTACAAAACTGGCTGCATAGAATTACAAATCCTTTGGCAGGTGAAGATACTCCCATATGTGTATAAATGATTTTTGTGAAGGTCAGCCTTGAATATACAAATTCTCATTAAAGTGTATCCATAGTGAAAACGTCTTTTCAAATGAGTAGGTAATGGTTAAATCCCGTGTCAGGTTATTTTAGTTTATTGATATGTGTTTTCTTGTAGAGGAAATTCAGCCTCTATATTTCTGCTACTGACCAGTGTCAGTGGGCTTGAAAGTAATGGCAAATTTAAAAAACTTCATTTGTCAATGGAACAGTATTAGATGTACAGTATAAACATCCTATGGGTACACTTGTTGAAGCGAGAGCTGTCTAAGGGAGATTTCCATCACACTTATAAGTCTATGAGACAGAAAATGAAAGGAAATCTCCCCAAGGAGGCATAAATGACTTTAGATATACGTTAAATGGTTAAATGGTCTCTCTACCCAAATGTGATATTTTATGTACAGGTGGAGTTTGGTGGGTTGAATCACCCATTGTCAGCTTATAGCTCTTAGAAACTTGAGCTTTAAAATCTTCATGTCATAATTCCTGTTCCTGACTGCTGTATCTTGTAAATGCTTATGAACTCCACCATCTATCAAGAACTGAAATGTCAGTGCTAGGATGAATGACCCTTTATATAACAGGATGCTGCTTCAACATCAATGGTTGCAGAAATGACTTAGCAGTATTTCAGTTTCCACCTCTTTTTAGGCATTATTTACAATTCAGAAGCTAATAAACTAATATCCAACCTAGCCTGGCAAGGTCAATCCTTGGCAAGCTATATGTCTATGCCTATCCTATGCATCATGATGCCTGACATCACAGCTTGCATGCAACGGAGCAGGTGAAAGTCAGATGGCATTACACTGCATCATTGAACCTAAGCCTTTTTAAAACTGCAACCTTTTCTATGTTCATACTAAGGAAGAGAGGTCACATTCATTGAAAGTTAGGGCTGTGGGATCATTATAAATGGCATAGTAAATCCATAGATATGGTTGCTATTTGTCATTCTAAAATTATGATAGGTTGTGATATGAGATTGTTTTAGCTACAGGTAATGTTTAACTTAGTTGTTATTAAAGATGAATTATAGGTCTGGGTATTTTATACATAATTACATTGGTCCAGCTTGGACCAATGTTACTGTGCATACACCATACCTAGCCATTACCCCTAGATGCTATAAATCATTGAAGTAGATCCCACCACTCCAGTGATGTACACTAGCTTCCAGATCCTGTGCTGAGTGGCTACCCTACTGCATTCTGAATACAGGAGGTCGGTCATTTAGCACGGATGCCATTGAGGGAATGCTCTGCATTTTCTAAATGATTGCAAAGCATTCTATGATTGGACAAGGTGGATAGGCGGGACAATGATGTCACCTGCCAAGCTGCTGACCTTCTGTGTTCAGAATACAGTAGGGCAGCTGCTTTATGTTGGACCTGGAAGCTGATAAAGGTTATTGGAGTAATGGTGTCTACTTCAGTAATTTCCAGTTTCCAGGGACATCAGCCAGGTATAGTATATATACATAGTTACATTGGTCTTAGCTGAACTAGTGTAACAATGTACAAAATACCCATACCTGGAATTCAACTTTTAATAATCTGAACTGAA